GTTTAACTAACCCGAAACCCTAAAGCCCTAAAACCCCAAACCCTAAAACCCTAAACCCTAAACCCTAAACCCTAAACCCGAAACCCTAAAACCCTAAACCCTAAACCCTAAAACCCTCAACCCTAAAACCAAAAATCCTAGAACCCTAAACCCTAAACCCTAAAACCCTAAACCCCAAACCCCTAAAGCCCTAAACCCTAAAACCCTAAACCCTAAACCCCTAAACCCCTAAAGCCAAAAACCCTGAACAAGAGCCCACCCAGTCTTCTGCAATCTGAGCCACGCGGTTGCCAACCTCGAGCACCGCAGGCGCCTCGACCCCCCACCTGGGAAGGCGTTCCTTTTTAGGGTTTAGGGTTTGGGGTTTAGGGTTTAGGGTTTAGGGTATAGGGTTTGGGGTTTAGGGTTTCGGGTTTAGGGGTTTAGGGTTTTAGGATTTTGGGATTTAGGGTTTAGGGTTTGGGGTTTGAGGGTTTTGGGATTTAGGGTTTGGGGTTTAGGGGTTCAGGGTTTCGGGATTAGGGCTTTGGACTTAGAGTTTAAGGAAGTTTAAAGGCTTACTTCCCTTTTTAGGGATCCTGATTATGATTTCCCTATATATGTCCGCAATAAGATGTAGCTTTTCAAGGAATCGGGTTGAAGGGCTTACACGGTTTTGCGGCCGCTCCCGAGGACGAGGGCGGAGAACGTGGCTTCGGTCGCAAGCTCAGTGCCACCGCCACGAGGGCATCTTCCGCAAAGTCCATGCATTGATGGCAGTTTTAGGATTTAGGGTTTAGGGTGGTGTCATCGGGTTTTCTTGGGGTTTATGGGTTTGTATATACGGATCATGTCCATCCCTGACTGATAAACCACTCATTTTCTAAGCGCCTTACAATCGGGATCCCTGAGGAGAGCCCTACGACTTCGTTCCCTGAAGCCCTGCCGTTTGAAGGGTTCGACCAATTCTTTAAACGGGTCATCACCTACTAATTTGTCGGTTTTAAGGTCACAGGTCAGGCTAGGGCAGGCCTTATAAAGATCTCTACTCCTCGGGTTCAGGGTTGGGAGACTATGAAGCTTGAAAGATGTACCGTTACGGACAGAGCGGTATCACACCCGGGTGATCACCGTAGTTCGCAGTTTAGCCACCTGCAGAATGTTGTTGCTGACAAACTTCAACATGTTTTTTTCTGGGCTATGTTTATTTCCGGCTGCACGGATGGCACCTTTGCGTGCAGTGCAAGATATGTATATGTATACACATATGCATCTGCATGTACATATACATATATATATATATATACAGATACATGTATAAGACAGAGAGGTACATATATAGATTTATATGGATATAGTTGTAGATATAGAGTACAGGATATAGGATATAGGATATCGGATATAGATACATTTCTAGGTATGTAGATGATGTATATGTATATACAGATAAAGCTCTATGTATATATATATATATGTATGTACATAGATAGTTTTAGATACACAGATATATAAATATACAGATAAATCATAAATTGAGCGAGGGAGAGAGCGAGATATGTGTGCATACATATATATATATATACAGAGAGAGAGAGAGAGACAGTCTTAGACACACACACACACACATATACACAAATGCTTGAAAATTCCAGCTTGTGTGGATTAGGGCTTTGAGTTTCGGCTTCGGGGGGCCCTGACGGACACCCTGAGCTCTGAAAGCCCGATGGCACAAGCCCAAGTTGAACTATAAACCGCGAATCCCCAACGGTTTAGGGTTTTGGGCTTAGGGTGCTAAAGCCATAAGTCCCATACCGTTTCGGGTTTACAGTTTAGGGGGATGTGGGCTTTAGTAAGGCTTTCGGCTTCAAGGGAAGTACGGAAAACAGGGCAACTTGACAGGGCTTAGGGTTTTGGGTTTTGGGCAATTCTCCCGCCTTTTAACTGGGCCTTTGCAGCAACCCAGCCCTCACGGCTTAAGGTTTAGGAGACTCCTTGTAAAGCGGGTAAAGTATAATCCCGTGTCTGCAGTACAAACCGCCCTGAACCCTAACCTTCAAACCCCTTACAACACCCTATGAACCGTCATAGGGTCACGGAATGCTCAAAAGAGTCGCAAAAGTAAATCCCTGAACCTATGCTAAACCCTAAACCCCTCCACCCTTGCTTCCGTTTTTGTGTGGCAGGAAGTTGATGCGCCTCCTCTGCTTGTTTGTACGCAATCTCCTCCCCTTCCCCGGTCCTCGTCCGCTCCGCCAACGGCGCCCATCAGTTCGTTGGCCCTCTTTGTTTGCGGCCGGGCCGAGGCGGACGACGCGCAGCGTTTAAATTTACCAATACTAACTTTTGGGGCTCCTTATTACTATTGCAATATAATGGGCCCCAAAGCCATGATCGAACTGTTAAGGCGCCTATATTAATGGAATCTCGAAGAGCCTTCCAAAACGGAGCCGAGCAGCTGCTTTCTTGCAACGCGTAGACGCCGGTGCTCGAAGAGCTCTCCAAGACCCCCGGCATCACCTTGACAGTTTTACGACTCAGGCATTAAGGGTTTAGGTCTGAGGCTTAGGGTTCGTATATCCATATGCCCGGGTTTGGGGTGTTGAAGGGTTTCGAGGCTAAAGGAAAGTCTCTACGGCTGTTATCAAGCTTGTTCGGGTTTAGGGCTTTAAGCTAAGTTTGTTAAACATGGCCAGCACTTCATACGGCTTTTGTAACATGTCTGTGGGTTCTTTCAGGTTGTCTAGGGCGGCCACCATGTGTTTATGAGGCTTGTCATCTTGTTCTATGCGGTTTCGTTGGACTTCCTTCAAGGTTTTACACGACTTGAAGCCCAGAGTGCCAAAGCAGCAATGGATGGACTAAGGGTTCTTGTAAAAGCGTCTTTTATAGTCCTGTAACGGTTACTATGTAACCAAGAATTTGAAGGGGTTGTGGGGCAGGATGTAGTTCGACTATTCTTCAGAGCCTGCTGATTGTTCAGATTTCTGTATAAGATATTTAGGCTGAAGGGCTCCTGATCTAGGTGTATGTACACACCTAATTACATATACCTTCCTAGACCCAGAGCCAGAGCCAGAGCCAGAGCCAGAGCCAGAGCCAGAACTACCTAATCACCTACATGCCTATACGCAAATTCATGCGTTGATATATATATATATACACATATAGATAGATAGATAGATAGATAGATAGGTAGGTAGATAGATAGATAGATAGATAGATAGATAGATGGACAGATAAATAGATAGATAGCTAGCTAGATAGATAGATAGACAGATAGATACAGTTCCATGTGTACATACACACTTTTAAATGGTTCCGCTTACTGTGAGCGTAGGACCTACGGCCTACGGCTTGCGGTGATGATGGTGATGATGGTAGTGATGATGACTGTTATGATGGGTGAAGGTGGCGACAATAACCGCACAGAGTGAAAGAGAGAGAGGGCGAGAACGAGAGAGAGAGAGAGAGAGAGACAGCAAACGGGTCTAGGTTTGGGTTCACCTTGAAGCCTTTAAGGGTTACGTATGGGGTTTAACAACATGTAGTTCACATCCGCTCCAGTCCCACACGCAGAACTGATATGTGTCTATCTATCCCTCTGTCTGTCTATCTGTCTATCTGTCTGTACATCTATCTATCCATTATCCGTCCCCAAACTTGAACTTACCTACCCCTGACCCGGAATCCATAGCGAAGGAAGCAACCTACGAAGCGCTGGAACTCTTCCAGGGTGATGAAGCCGTCGTCATTCACATCCATCATGCCAGCCTCCGGAGACTGGAAGGCGCCTATGTACCTAAGAGTTTCAGTATGTCGGGTATCCGCCGAAAATTAAATAGCCAAGCAGTACGACCCGTATCCAAAGGACCTCATATCCCCAAACCCTGAATCCCAAATCCCGCCGAAAGTCCTCTAAATCTCTTTGAACGTAGCTATAGGCTCCCCAGTAACTTCTGAATAACAAAGGTATCCTTTTCTCCGACTGCCTGGTTGTAACAATAAAGGAACCCAAACAGAAAAACGGCAAGAGGGTACTACTGCTGAACCTACCTAATCCTAACCCCTACACCCCTAAACCCTATAGTACCCCTTTCCCTTTAATTTAAACCCTAAACACCTAAATCCTAAACCCGAAACCCTAAACTTTAGGGGTTGTCGGGCTCGGGCCTTTGGGGCTGTAGGGCTTTAGGGTTCAGGGCTTTATAAGGTTTCGAGGGCTGTGGGGCTCCGCGGGGGTTTTGGGGCTCTCTGGGCATTCGGGCTCTAGAGCATCGGGGCTTTTAGGAAGTTTATGTTTTGGAGTTTAGGGTTTAGGGTTATAGAGTTTAGGGTTTTAGGGTTTTAGAGTTTAGGGTTTAAGGTTTTGGAGTTTAGGGTTTTAGAGTTTGGGCTTTTAGGGTCGAGGGTTGAAGGTCCTGGGCTCGGGGCTTGGGAACTACTCCTAGCGCTTCTTCGTCCCAAGGTTCACCCTAAACGCAAAACCCCGAACCCCTAAGCCCTCAACCCTAAACACTGAAACCAAACACCTAAACCCCAGAAGTCTTAAACCTACGGTTGATGATACAAAACCTGCATTACCCGTAATAAGGATAACATACCATAATTCCCATTGCTAAGTCCTGAGTCCTGAGTCCTGAGGGACCTAGGGTCCCCAACACCCTACCTGGACCCGAGAAGGCCGACCTGTTTGATCAATACCCTTTACATAAGGTTGAGGGTTTAGGGTTTAGGGTTTAGGGTTTAGGGTTTAGGGTCTACCTTGGATCTCGTAGGAAGGAGCACGAAAACTGTAGGGCTCTTGGGGTCCACAGGTAAAACCCTAAATCCCTGCACTAGAACTCCCTGTGAGAATAACATACCACACCTTCAGCTTGAAGCCAGCTAGAACCCAACAACAGCCGATTACACCCATCACCTGGCCCTACCCGGACCCTAAGACACCTTCATTATTGTTAAGGTCCATTATTAATGTCCATATATAAGTCCTTGACGAGGTAGGATATTTGGGGTTGAAGTAGACCCTCAACCTTGAAACCCAAAACCCTGCAAGAAGTCTCTAAAAAATCACTACGCAACCCTGATCATAACACCTTTGTCAGACCCCATAATACTCCTCAACAGTGTGGGGCTTAGGGTTTAGGGTCGATGCAGGGGTCTTAGGTCTTGCAAGGTTTTATAAGGGATCGGTGCTACTGTAAGGGCCTCAAAAACGGGTCTTGGTCATGTTGCATTGCGTTTATGTAACTGTTGAAGACAAGGCTTAGACGGTGAAACTAGTAAGAATCATTCGGACCTCTATACAGTGGTCTGGAAAAGGCCTTCGAACTGAATGCTCGAGATACGGCTGACTTTATCTCATTGTTGTTTCTTTAAGATTGAGAAGGCTACCATAAGGTTTCACAGGGCTTTCTGGTTCATAGCGCGAGGATTGGGGCTTTCCCACCCCTCTGCCGGAGGTGTGTGTGCATTTCGGGGAGCCAAACCCTAAACCCTCAACCCATCCTATATCCGGAACCATGGAACCCGAGAGCCTGAACAACTCCAAGCTGTGATCTGCGGAAGCAACAGAACCAGTTTATGTGGGGGTTTCCGAAAATAGGGGACCCTAACATAGTACCCTAAATAGTAGGATCCCTATTATAAGGACCCCAAAATAAGGTACCCTAATTTTCGGAAACCCCCATGTAGCGCTTAGACACCCAGTTAGAGGCTTGAGAGCTTCGGGTTGAAGGCTTCAGGGACTCTAACCTCTAAGCTCTAATACTGATTTTTCACACGCAGGGGCAACCAACATAAAACAGATTCAGGTTTAGGGTTTAGGGTTCAGGGGTTTGGGATGCATTTGGGGTCTAGGGTCTAGGATTGATATAAGTCCACCGTCCCTCAAATGGCATATGGTTGGCCACACGGAAGCAGATCTGCTACACAATCTTCAGCTGATCCTGCGCAGCACTACTGTCACCACCACCAGCAGCATCACCCCAGGTGACGACAGACCCATTACCCAGAACGGCTGCAAAAGCACGGCTGGAGGCTTGAATCTGCTGCACATCCTTCAACTGGTCCCTCACAGCACTACTGTCACCACCATGGAGGGGACCACCCCAGGTCACAACGGACCCATCGGCAAGAATTGCAGCAAACGCGCTTTTAGAGGCTTGGATCTGCTGCACATTCTTCAGCCGATCCTGCACAGCCCTGCTGTCGCCACCACAAGCAGCATCACCCCAGGTCACGACAGACCCATCGCCCAGAACGGCTGCAAATGCACTTTCTGAGGCTTGGATCAGCTGCACATTTTTCAGCTGATGCTGAACAGTACCACTGTTACCCCCGTAGCGAGGATCACCCCAGGTAACAACCGATCCATCACCAAGAACGGCAGCAAAGGCATCACGTTTAGTGGCTTGGATCTGCTGCACGTTGTTCAGCTGATCCGGTACTGCAATACTTTCAACACAATCGTCATAATCATCATAATGTACATCAGAATCACAATCACCCCAGGTCACGACGGAGCCATCAGCAAGAAGAGCAGCAAAAGCGCCAGAAGAGGCTTGAATCTGCTGCACATTCTTGAGCTGGTGCTGCACAGCGCTACTGTCACCACCAAATGCAGCACAACCCCAAGTGACGACCGATCCGTCGCCCAGAAGGGCAGCAAAAGCATGCAGGGAGGCTTGGATCTGCCGTACATCCTTCAGCTGATCCTGCACAGCACTGCTGTCGCCGCCATAACTGAAAGCACCCCATGTCACGACGGTTTCATCAGCAAGAATGGCAGCAAACGCACGGTCACTGGCTTGGATCTGCTGCACATTAATCAGCCGACCTTGCACAGCACTGCTGTCAGCGCCACAGTCCAAATCGGTATCACCCCACGTCACGACTGTTCCGTCGCCTCGAATCGCAGCAAAAGCACGCCGAGAGGCATGAATCTGCTGAACATTTTTCAGCTCATCCCGCACTATGCTGCTGTCACCACCATGTTGAGCAGTACCCCAGGTCACCACAGAACCGTTTTCAAGAACAGCAGCAAAAGCGGTACGGGTGCATTGAATCTTCTGCACATTCTCCAACCGATCCGGCACAGCACTGAAGTTACTGCCACGGGTAGCGCATCCCCAGCTCGCGACAGACCCATCGCCAAGAACCACGGCAAACGCGCTTTCGGCACCACATGCCTGAACTGGGCCTACGTGCAGCACTAGTGTGTCACCGCTCTGCAAATTGGAATCCTTGATTGCTTCGCAAGCATCCAGAAATCGTCCAAAGGGATCCACCAGCCGCCCTTTTCCGACTCCCAATGCAGCCTGCGCATGATGCTTTAATCTTTCAACTTGTTCATCCACGCCAATGACGACTTTCGTTGTCTTGCCACTGAGCAATCCAACTTCCACAGTGATTGACATGTTGCTGGACACGGAAATGCTTGGAATACAAGTAATACTCGTCGATGATATAACATGGACGTAGTTGCACCGGCACCTGCTACGGTTCCTCTTGCCTCCAGTCATGTTTTTGTTGCTCTTCTACGTGGTTCCACGCAGCAAAAACTGGCCACGACGGGAGTACTCGGGGACTTAAAACTGCTGCTTCGAAACAGTGCTTGTATAGACGTGTCTCTAAACATAAGCAAACAAATAAACCAATAAGTAAATAAACACAGAGAGAGAAAGATACAGCCATATGTATGCAGGGCATACAGACATGTGCAGTGCTGTTCCGTATAATTTATCTAGGCATAGGACATATCGACACGGTTGCAAATTGTGCACCTGGCAGGCACCCTAAACTATCGGGATTAAGGGACCCTGAACTTTAGGGATTAAGGGACCCTAAACTTTCGGGATTAGGGGACCCTGAACTTTAGGGATTAAGGGTCTGAGTCTTGGCATAAGAGCCGGCGCCTGCAGGATTGCTTTCTTATCGAAGCACCGCACTCTGCTGAACACATTCCAGACGTTCCCTCTAGACCCTGCCTTAAACCCCGATTCGAATAGCCTACCTGGAAGTGATACTAAGGAGTCCTAAAAAAGTAGGTTTACAGGGTCCAGGTATGAGACAACATCACCGAAACAGCATACAAACCCTCCCCAAACCCTACCTGCTAAACGCTGAAGTCTAAACCCCTGTGCCACCTACCCACAAACCCCGAGGCCAAACTAAACCTAGAAGGCCATATCAAGCCTGTGCAATCCATGCCCAGATGAGGCACCAATGAAAGCTTCTAAAATCAACGTGTCATAAGTGCATGTGTCTGTGTATGTAAATTATACTCGTACATGCATGCATGCATGCATACATACATACATGAATACATGTATGCATACTTTCGTTACATTACATGACATGACATGACATTACATTACACAAATGCCTACATACGTGTGCATTTGTTTGTTCTTTTTCGTATCATTGATTTGTTTGTGTTTATTTTCTATACACACACATGTGTATCTATCTACTTGTGTGTTGCGCCTTAACTATGTGTATACTTGTATGTGTATATATATATATATATGTATCTGTATATATATATATATATAGATACACACAAAAACTGTATAGTTAAACTTCAGCAAGTACCCTGCCAGCCCTACAACTGGAACTCCGTAGCCATCCAAGACTGCAAATGAAGGTGCCTAAGTCGTCAAAACCAGGTTTGGAGGTATACGGTTGATGATGTAGACCTGACGTTACCCATAATAAGGAATATACCATCTTTCCCATAGTTTAGGGTACTTAAGGTAATGCAGGATTTACACCACCAACAGTAGTATACTAGATTAAGAACTCTAATGAACAATATTCATAAAGAAACCTCATAAAGCCCATGGGAGGGGCGCTTATAGTAACCCTTACAGCAAGGTGTACAAATACCCTCTACGTAGGAACACCTTTACTACTATTGTCTTGGACCGACCTCCTCGTAGCCCCAGCCGATGTAGGCACACCTCGGTGCCACGGAAGAGTGGGGGTCGTTGCCAGGCTTTGTACGTGGGGTAGGGGTTTAGGGGTCAAGGGTGTAGGGTGTGTAAGGTTTAGGGTTTAGGGTGTAGGGTTCAGGGTTTAGGGTTTGCCTAGGGTCTAGGCTTCAGGGTTTAAGTGTTGTGGTCTTGTGTTTTTGTAGGGTTTACATTGGAATATGAAAAGCTTGTGCTGTATTTGTAGGCTTTGGAGTTGAGGGTTTGGGTTTAGGGTTTAGGGTTTAGGGTTTAGGGTTTAGGGTTTAGGATTTAGGGCATTCAAAGAGGCGGCTTCTGTTTACTGAAAGTATGTTGCACAGCGTTCATGGTTCAATCACTGTGGATCTGGATCCTGTGCTTCGGATCTTTGCTTTGTATCAGGGCGATGCCGTCGGACCCTAAATCCTAACCCATAATTAGGGCTTAGGGTTTATAGGGTTTTGGTTTTAATAGAGGTTAGGGTTTAGGGCCCAGGGTTTAGGGTTCAGTAGGCAGTGCCATGAAGCCCTGCTAGGGTTCAGGGTTTACACTACACTGGGGCGCAAAGTTGGAGAACAAGGAGATCTCGCGACATTTTGAAGTTCTTAGGGTTTAGGGTTTAGGGTTTAACGATCTAGCTTTTAAGCCGAAACCCAACTACATCCTGCCCCTTGATGCAGACCAAGCTGCAACCCTACATCCCAATATACAGCAATATACAGTATTGCAGCGTTGAGAAGGTGTCACTGGTTTGTCACTGGTTTGGGCTTTTTGGTCCCTAAGCACCTTCTTACCTGATTCCAGGGCTATGTGTCCACTCTCACCCGCCTAAATCAGATACATGACATGTACTAGAAAAGGTTGCTTGTGGGGTCGCGGGCTCTTCAAGGCTTTCTACACAGTAGCTTCAGGGACCGGGGCAGAACCAGACAAGATTTAAGCTTTAAGGCTTTTGGGATGTGTGGCTCAATGATAAACTATAACCCTAAACGAAGCCCTAAACCCCTAGACCTTGAACCTAAACCAGTGGTATAGTTTAACAGTAGAGCTTACCTTAACCCTAAACTACCTACCGTTGTGTTCAAGACCTTTTTTAAAGAAACCATGATACGGAACCCTTTGAAAGGTAGGGCTTATAGGGTTCAGGTAGGGCTCCGGGTAACTTTCCTGCCGTGCGGCATGTATCGGAACTCTTTGGGGTCTAACTTGCCGGACTTGTCCACGTCAAAGCGGCGAAAGGCATCAGAGACCTGCGAGAACATGCAGTTGCATGGATCCCTCTACCTGAAACCCCTAAACCCTAAACCCTAAACCCTAAGCCCTAAACCCTAAACCCTACCTGAAAGGTCCATGCACCTGAACTGCATATGCTTGCACACTGAAATGACTACGAAGGATCCCATTGAAGGCCAGCAGTAGACATCTAACATACCCAGAGGGACTGTACATACTATCCTTGTAGAGCTAGGTCCCCAAGAGCCAAATGGGGATGGTCTTTTGGGTCCTAATTCCCCAAAGGTCGTATATATCGACCCTCCGGTGCAGCAGCCTTGATAGTTGGAGGAGGGTTATAGGGTTTGTCTGAGCATACTTTACTGTCATAATGTAAGAAAACGCTATTCGGCCTCTATATGCAATGATATATCGACATGGACTCTTGGCTTGGGCGCAACAAGAGGAGAGCGAGAGAGAGAGAGAGAGACGTAACAAACAAGAGAGAGCTGAGCCATCCGGTGTGAGAGCCCTCACACTCAACTGCGAGGTGCCTGCGCCATCTCGTGATTCAAGCTGAAGCTGATCCTCTCCAGAAAACCTTTCGCATCCTCGATGTTCTTCGCAATCACCTGCAGCCGAGGCAACAAAGAAGAGAGACAGCACCAACCAGATGCATTCCAGATTCTTTGCCCGACCCCTCTAGCATAGTGATGATAAGATGACAAGCTCCGAAGTGTATTGGAATTACCTCCTATACTTGCAACTTCCAGGCAAGAACCATAAATATCCGGCTAGTAGTTATGAGGCTCTCGAAGAGGTCATGAAGCTTTGGTGCTTGCTTTCCTTCCGGGTCTGGGGAACTTCCCGCGGTGCGGTCCCCAGGTACACTTGAAAGATTTCGGGCTTTTGGGGTTCAGGTTTAGGGTTGAGGGGTTTAGGGGCTTTAAGGGTTTAGGGCTTAGGGGTTTAGGGGCTTTAAGGGTTATGGCTTAGGGGCTTAGAGGTTTAGGGATGTCATGACGTTTGTTGCATGCTTTCGTTCGGGGTGTAGGGCTAGACTCGCGGGTGCCGTCCCTACACGGGAAAGAGGAAACTACCATGAGAAACAGGATTACGGGTTCATGGGGTTTAGGGCTTAGGGTTCGGGGGTTTAGGGTTTACCTGGACCCTTAACAACCTGCCTTTTGAAGGACTTATATTATGAAATCAGAATAGGGAACCCTCAAAGAGTAGGTTCTTTAGGGTCCAGGTAGGAGTTTAGGGGTCAGGCTCCCAGAGTCTCGCCTACCAGAAGCCCTTTGTCATGCTTAGCCCTTTGAAGGATGCGCGGACCTATCGGGGCTACTCAAACAGGGACTTCACGGCCAAAGTACATGCTGACTATGTAGTACCCAGACCCCTTCCTTGATTGGGGACTCGACCTGAACAAAAATCTTAAATCTCGGAAGGTTCGGATAGATGATGATACGTACCTTCTAAGTCCGAAGCCCTACACCCCAAACTCTCAGACTCATTATTGGGGCCTTAATAAGTAGAATAGGGTTTTGGGGCCCATTATACTATAATTATAATAAGGAACCCCAAAAATAGTATTAGAGTATAGGTACTTCTTCAGCCCTGAAGGGCCTAGATCCTTAGGTATTTATCCTGACCCCCCTATAGTACTCCGAAGGAACATGCTGAAGCCAAAACAGGAGCGGCATGGCTCATCTTAGGGTGTAGGCTTTAGGGTTTAGGGTGTAGGCTTTAGGGTCTAGTGCGGCGGCTGCATGAGTGCTTTATCAAGGTAGTATGGCGCTGTATCCGATTACGATCTCTACATAAGTGTATGTATGAACATCTATAATGGGGTCCCTCGAAGCACAAACCACCCCAAAGCCTCGAGCTAGGCTAGTGGAAGCATGGTGCGAGATGACCGTGCTTTTACCCCACACCCTTAACCCTAAACCCCAAAAACCCTAAACCCTAAACCCTCAAACCCACAACCCGAAGCCGTAAACCCTAAACCATAAACCGTAACTCGTGCTGGCTGGGTGCTGCTTCACGACAGCAGCGAACCCAGTAGAGGAGATGGTGCGGCTTCGCCTCCGTACCTTGGGGGGTGCTAAAAGAACTAATAAACCCCTAAACCCTAAACCGTAAATCCCTAAACCCTAAACCTGAAATCCTAAACCCTAAACCCTTAGAGTTTAGGGTTTCGGGTTTGGGGTTTAGTACAAAGAGGGACCTTCATGGGTAGCATAGGGTGTTGGGGTTTAGCGCCTATAGGGCTTACCTTAGCACTTCGAACAGGGCTTTTGGTGCTGGACTACGTCATAGTGTGATGAAGTAGCGACTCTCACACTCTCTCTCTCCCTCTATATATATATATATATACAATGTGTGTATATATATATATATATGTATATATATATGTATATATATATATTTATTTATTTATAGATATAGATACATATGTATATATACACACACGTAGTTAGGAATGTTGCTATGCAATATTGTTTCGGCTATGCAATATTGTTCCGGTCACTTTTGTAGTCTGGCACGGTTTATAGATCTGAGGGTCCAGGAGTCCAGGGCGGTCCTTGGTGTTGCGGTCTTTTCGTAGTGCCTGACTTGTCCAGTATCCTAAGGATTTTGCGGTTTAGGGTCCTGAGGGGAACTGAAGGTTAGCCTTGGGATTATACAGGGATTATAATACCCAAAAAAAAGTTGAAGGATACCTACTCTAGCAGGTAAGGTGCTATCATACCGCATGGTCGTCGCTGTTGCGCGTTTTGCTTAGAGAGTTCAAGCGGCAGCATCATCCAATGAGATACCTCAAACCAATGAGTACTTATGGAGCAAACCAACGAGTGAACCCGAACCCTGTGCAAGAAAACCTGCTGCTGCCAGAGTAACTTCACAGCTATACACGCGGTGAAACCTATGGGGGCCAAGGATTTCGCGGAAGGCCTTCCAAAAATGCCCCTGGTGCCTTCACAGCATTGCAGTGCTGGTTCGCGGCTTACACAGGGCGAACATAGCAAAGTGCCCAAGGTCCCTATAGTAAGCTACAGCCCGTACAGGGTACCAGATTTGGTAAATGGCGCCGTCGCTTAAGTGTTCGCTTGAAGGGTACCAAAGCACGGAAGCATCTACGCAACCCAAAACCGGCCTAAGCGAAACAACATGTTTATGAAGATGCAAAGGATCTGAAAGGTCCAAACCCCTAAAGCCCGCAACCCCGAAGTCAAAAGACCGAATCTGTTGCAGCCACAGAGCCCATGGGTTTGAGGTACGGGTGATCATACACAATCCTTGGCATCGTGCGTACAGCTCCGGGAGATCTAAGCTGCTCAGGGCATCAAAAGCCTAAGTAAGGAGTGGTGAGTGCGCTGAAGCCCACATGGCGGATCTAATATCTTGGCTGACTATGAACCCTCCTAAAAGCTAAACTTTTCGCCTCCTGATTACAGATCCTATGGAACCCACAAAATTAGAGTCTTAAGAGCCAACCAGAAGAACGCCAAGATATGGGTGAATGTCTACATATGCTTGAATTAGATAATTGCTGCGGCAATTATCACCTGATCTATAATATTGCATGCCTTAAATAGGCCCTCGCAGCAGCGGCCTTTGAACCTGCAAAACGTGTGAGAAAGTTTCGTCAATAATTTTGGACAATCCATTGTGTGGCGTCTGGCTACTTGGTGCCCTACTCCCTGCGCCCGGGTTTAGGCCCCTGTAGATTTGTGCATTGCATATTCCTGATAAAACCTTTCCACATTCCTCACAAATAGCCATAGTTGACAAAACCTTTCTATATTACTGACAAATCCGTTTTATTATATTCTGACACATGGTTCCGATAAAAAAAACCTTTACGGTTCCTTACTCGGGCAGTGCTCGTAGTCGCAATAGTAGCAGTCGTACTTAGTATTAACCGTCGTCGTTGGATAGCTCTTCGGCAGAGCCTGCAGCCTCGGAAAGAGACACAGGCCCCTAGGTAGAGCATCCACTGCCAAGATCGCCTCTACCTTTACCACACCGGGTGTCAGAAAGAGAAACCCCGAAACCCGGGATCCATAAACCCTTGCGAAACTCTCTTAGAGCCCCTGTAGAACCCATATATAAAGCTTCTACAGCCCTCGTTAAATCCCTACAGAATTGTTCTAGCACGCCAAGAAACCTTTGTCGAATCCTTGTAGAAGGCTTCTACTTGAAACCATTTTCTGGTAATTCAGACCTTAGTATTGTCCGACAACCTCAACCTCAAGCCGTAAAGGCCTTAAGCCCAAACCCCAATTGCCCGAATTGCAGGCCTAATTGCAGGCCTAGTTGCTTTATAGGTCTCCTAAACCCTAAACCCTAAAACCCTCAACCATAAGCCCAACAGCCCTAAATGCTAAACCCTAAATCCAAAACCCTCAATTCTAAACCCTAGGCCCTAAACTCTAAAGCCTAAGCCCCAAAACCAAAATCACCCTAAACCCTAAACCCTAAACCCTAAACCCTAAACCCTAAACCCAACAAATCTCAAAGTGTCCGCGCCAAGCCAGCGACCACGCCCGCGAGATCGGCATCCTCGCCCACTCGACCCAGGGCTTTCCTGGACCAGGGCTTTTTATTTAGGGTTTAGGGTTTAGGGTTTAGGGTTTAGGGTTTAGGGTTTAGGGTCTTAAGGATTTTTTAAGAGCCTTTGTAGGGCTTTTAGGAGCTTTGGGCTTAGGGTTTAGGGTCTTAGGGCTTTTAGGGCTTTATATAAGTCCCAAGGGCTCCAAATAGCGGGTTTAGGGTTCAGGGTTTATAAGGAGGAGGCTACATGGGGTATGGAAACTCCTACCATAGCTGAAAGCCTAACTTGTTTTTGGGTTTTTTCGAGGGCTCCAAATAGCCGAAAGTAGGTGCTATCTACAGACTTTAGAACCCAAAGCGGGTACTATTTGTATGCTTAGAGGTTTAGGGAGTCTGTAGGGTCTTAGGGCTTTAAAGACTTTTAGGGTTTTCAGTCGACCTCATGAGGCTTAGAGTTTAAGGGTCAAGATAACAGTTTTTCGGATCGTAGGCTTGTTGCGAAGGGTTTCTGTAGATGTCGATAGGTTTAGGGTTTCGGCTTAGGGTTTAGGTTTTGTTGTTGAGGGTTTAGGGTTGAGGGGTTACAGTTTAAGTTTAGGGTTCCAGTAAGAGGTCCAGAAGCAGTCTGCTCTGCGGCGAAAATGAGATGTCTTGAAACAGATCCCGGCTTAGACCAAACAAACTCAGCAAACAATCTAAACAATCAAAGGTGTCACTGCGTGCTATGGACAGCATAATCTACATTTTGACAAGCAGATCAAGAGATAAGAGCAGTGCATAGTCTTACGCACAAACATGCTGGTCAGGTTTCACAATGTCATCGTGACCGGCACCAGCGCTGAAGCGCAAATCGGTACTCCCTGGGCCAGAGCAACAGGTACTTCCCATAGCTGCAGTGGGAAGTGAGACCACGTGACAAACAGAAAGGCACACACAGAAAACAGCAACAAGCGTTTGCAGAAGAGTCTTACTCTTACGATCTGCCTTCTTAGGTAACAATGTAGCTGTGACCTGTGACTCATGGGACGCTGTCATACCAGTGCACATGTCACGGGTTCTGGGGCTGTCTGCT